AAAGGGGACTTCCGGGAATTGAACCCAGGACCTCCTCCACCCTAAGAAGGAATCATACCACTAGACCAAAGTCCCTGAAGACTTTCGTTGTTTAATACTATTATGGAGCAAGACTAAATTAACATTCCAACTGAATAAATACTCCAATAAGCTATTCACACAAGGAATATAGCACTGTGGTCACAACTGCTTAACTCGTTTTATTGCAGTAGGGAGGAAGAAGAAAGTGGACCCGAGAGGAAGGGGGGGATTGGCGGAGGTAGACAACAAAAGGGGGCTGACAAAGCTTTCACTCTCGCCCTCTTTCCCTTATGCCTGAGATGGAGGGCTCTCAGAACGGGACGGTGGTAGCGTGGTGATAAACCGGAGGTGGGGGGCGGTCAAGGGTCGAGGGGAAAGCGAGGGTAAAAAATGTCGCGAAACTAAAAACAAAACACGGGCTCAGTATTGCACCATTGATTCCGTTGTAGACCCGTCGGGCAGATCCGGCCCGCTCGGGGCACTGGCGTTGGCAGAGGGAATAGCGGCGGTCGAAAACTCGTCACGGGTTGGGGCGTTATCAGCAGAGTTAGAGGATCCGGCAGCGTCGGGGGCCGCAAGGGTGGCGGAGGCGGTGGTGGCGGCGGTGGCAGCGGATCTCGGTTGCGACCCGGTCGACACTGCAGTAGCTGGTCCAGCAGACATTGTGTTCAGTGCCAGCGCGAGCGTCGATGGCTGCGGCGCGGGTGAAGCAGCGGAGGTCGACGCGGCGAGCCAGCGGCGCCACTTTGCGGCGCGCGCCTCGTTGGCGCGGTGGCCGAATAGCTGGGATGGCCGGGCGCCGACCGCACCGGTAGATGACGCAGAACCGTCCGCGGCCTCTCTGATGCCGGCGGCGGTGCTCACTGCTGACGTTCCGTCGATAGAGCGCTGGAGCGCGACCGCGCGGCGTGGGCCTCGGCGGCAGAAGTAGTCCTCTGTGTTTTCCACAAAGAATATCTTGTAGGTGTTGATGCAGATCTTGAGCTCGAGGCCGCTGCTGAGCTCGACCCCCTCGGCCTCGTCGCGGTAGCTGGGTGCCGATGTGGGTAGGTTCCGGTGAAGGAATGGCTCCTTGGCTTTTACTCCGTCAGTGCCAGACATTGAGATGTAGTGGTCGACGTAGCGCGACCACCGCTCTTCAGTCGACGCCGAGTCGTCCGAGATTGGGTCGTCTTTTGTCAGCTGGGCAATAGTCAACACTTT